CCCCCCCCCACACACACACACACACAATTCTCTGGGATGATCGCTTGACCCCTTCCCCCACCGTGTGGGTAACAGTGGGGATGATTTCTGTTCAGCCACAGGCAAACAATCCAGCAGGAACCGCCACCTCTGAATCTCCCCTTAATAGAATTCCTCTATTTCAACCAGTTGACCATGAATGATATCACTCTTCTGAGGATAACACAGAGAGATAAAAACGGATGTTACTTGAATACCAGCAAACACCAGGACCATACGCTGCCATTCTTTCTTATACAATGATTCCAGACTACGTGCTACTGGCCTGGAGTGGTAAAGTGTCCTACCATGGAGGACGCAATAAGGCTGCCCTCGCCAGAAACCTTTTGCAAAGGCTTTGGGAGTACATCCAGGAGAGCTTCATTGAGATGTCCCTGGAGGATTTCCTCTCCATCCCCAGACATGTTAACAGACTTTTCCAGTAGCTGTACTGGCGGTACAGGGCAAATTAATCATTAAACATGCTTGCTTTTAAACCGTGTATTATATTTACAAAGGTACACTCAGCAGAGGTGCCTTCTCCGCCTTCAAGGTCCAGGAGCCCAGGTTGGGAGGGTACTGTCTCCAGAGTGATCAACAGTTCCTGGCTGTCTGGGAGAATGGTTTCTCCACTTGCCTGGTGTGCACTATCTTCAACCTCCTCCTCATCATCATCTTCCTCATCCCCAAAATCCTCATCCCTGTTGCATGAGGCTCCCTTGCAAGAGTGGTACAGGTGTGGGGTAGTTGTAGGGGCACCCCCTAGAATTGCATGCAGCTCATCATAGAAGTGGCATGTCTGCAGGTCTGACCCCGAGCAGGCGTTTGCCTCTTTGGTGTTTTGGTAGGCTTGCCTAAGCTCCTTAAGTTTCATGTGGCACTGCTGCGGGTCCCTGTTATAGCCTCTGTCCTTCATGCCCTTGGAGATTTTTTCAAATATTTTGGCATTTCGTCTTTTGGAACAGAGTTCTGGTAGCACGGATTCATCTCCCCATACAGTGATCAGATCCAGTACCTCCCGTTCGGTCCATGCTGGAGCTCTTTTGCAGTTCTGGGACTCCATGGTCACCTCTGCTGATGAGATCTGCACGGTCACCTGTGCCTATCAGCTTGCCACGCTGGCTAAACAGAAAATGAAATTCAAAAGTTTGCAGGGCGTTTCCTTTCTACCTGGCCAGTGCATCTGAGTTGAGAGTGCTGTCCAGAGCAGTCACAATGGAGCACTCTGGGATAGCTCCCGGAGGCCAATACCGTCTAATTGTGTCCACAGTACCCCAAATTTGACCCAGCAAGGCCGATTTCAGTGCTAATCCCCTTGTCGGGGGTGGAGTAAGGAAATCGATTTTAAGAGCCCTTTAAGTCGAAAAAAAAGGGCTTTGTCGTGTGGATAGGTGCAGGGTTAAATTGATTTAATGCTGCTAAATTCGACCTCAACTCCTAGTGTAGACCAGGGCCTAGTCTTATCAATGAACCTGAAAAAGAATCCAGTTTAGAACAGAAGTTGTTGAGTAACTATTTAATGTTCTTAAAATGAATTTACATCCAGCCATGCTTGCTCCCCCTTTGAATATTCTGTGAATATGAATATTGGAGAAAACTTCTTTACTGGCAAAAACGCCAATAGACAGTAAATTTCGATGTCACATACCTCAATATTATTGAAAACAAATGTTAAATGTATATGTGTATTTGCACTGGAAGTGCTTTACATGTGTATCTATTCAGAAAAACAGAAAAAAAAAGGTGATTTCCATTCCCTTTGAAATTCCAACACTTCAAACTTTTCTTCATTACAAATCAGAGTGAAAAGCCAACGTTTCCTGCAGAATTAATTTTTTTCTATTTGAGACTCTCCAATTGTTTCATTTGGATAATGTTTTACACAATATAATAAATTATTATGGTAATATTATACAGTAATATAAAATTATATAGTAATAAAATTATTTGCTATTTAATATAAGTATAATATGGCATTAACATTAATATTTTAATATAATAGAAAAGTGGAAATGAAATGAAATGAGAAAGTCAAAACAATTTGTTACAACTCTTTCCCATCCAAAATGTTTTTGAAATCAACATGTTCCTGTAAAACATTTGTACTTCGATGAAACTTCATTTTCCATTGGAAAACTGTCAAAAATATTTTGTCCAGCTCTTGTGATTTATCTGATCAATCAAAAGTTGTCAGCATAGCTTGAATTTCCAATATTTATGAGCAATTCAAGGCATAAAAAAACTATAGCATATAGTCTTTTAAAATATTCTAATAATTCCAAGGAAATTGTGAGTTGCTGGAAAATATCCACAAGGAGAGAAAGAGAGACTTGAAAATGTAGCAAGTTATTTATGTGTATATTCTGTTTTAGATATTGAAATCTCAAAATAATTTCTGCAGAGTCTTCCCTTTATACAGTCAACTTCGAAATCCCTCCCCCCCACACACACTAAGCACCCCACTGCATACATCCCCTTGCACAAAGACTAATCTCTAACATATATCACGTGTTAGCTAAGATTACTGAATCATCATCTTCAACATCATCAAGGTATATCCCAAAGGGACCTAGCTTCCTTGCAGATTGAGTGCCACAAGGCTACTAAATATTCTGTTTCTAAAAACAAATTTTGGCTAGCCTGTGGACAGAGGGACTTGTTGCCAAAGGTAACGGAGTCCAGAGAGGGGGTAAGAGTGTCTGGGTAAAGGAACAACAGGGTGCGGCTCTTTCAGGAACTATTGAATCTCTAACTAAAAGTGAGGCTATGGAGATTACTTTAAATTTTATTTGGTTGTTATCCAGATCCTTTCACAGTTCTGTTCTTCCTGAGTGGGGCCAGAGATCCAGGTGCTTATGTAGAAAGCATACTCCGGCAGTCCCACTGTCCTGTCCTCTTTGTCTCTGGTCTGATGTCTACCATCTCCCTCCAGTGTCCTCACAAGCAAAATATTGTAGGATATGTCAACCTTGTCAGAAGGGATGGGAACTTGTAGATGATAAGATGAAAGCTCTAGAGTAGAGCTATGCAAATAACTGATTTTTTTGCTTTCCTGGATTTGAATTCAGTTCTAAAAATTGTCTATATTTTGGGGGGGAATTGATAAATTTTCAAAACTGTTTTACCCATTTCTATCCAGCAGTTGAATATTCACTCTCTCCCATTATCTGTTGTCCCAGATACATGGGAAGAAATACAAGATGCAAGGGATGTGGCTTTATTAGGATGCAACTTTATGAAATTATCTGGAACCATCTGGCAATAACTCATACAGTGCAGGATATGATTCCTTCCTTAATCCTTTCCTCACTCCTCCACACAGTCCATTAAAAAAGCTAAGGAAAGGGCTTGGGGCTCATAATGTCCCTTCCTCTGGCCCCTTAGCTCTTATATGAGGAGAGGGTGATGAGGTCCCAGCCCTTTCCCTAGCTTCTTTAGAGGATGCTCTTCCCTAAGTCCATTTCCAATTCTGATTTATCAGGAAACTACCCCTCCTATGGAATTAGTACTGCACTGGACGCCTGCCACCAGGAGGCACCAGCAACTATGTTGGCTGCCCTCACTCCCACCCCGCAGCTGGGTCCCCACGTATTTAACAATTCCCATCCTAACACTGGCTAAAATATATCTTCTCCATAATCAGGGAGTTGTACTCCATCATCTCTGAATAACTCAAATATGTTACATTTTGTGAGTAATTACCAATTTTCCCCATTTTTAGTGATTCACATATCTTATGGCCTTGTAAACCCGTGGATGCCTGGCGCCTTCTCACCATACCCTCCACTTTAGCATTTGAGAATAACTCCCAGAAAAAGGTCCTGGATTTGTCCTATAACTCTCTTTTTAACCCCTTACGAAATCCCAATTAGTTTCTACCCACCTGTACAATAATCATTTCAGGTGGCTGCTTCCTGGACACCAAAGAATGCAAGAGAAGCATCAGCTGGTCCCAGAGCATGCCCCTCTTGCCCGGCCAACTTAGTGTCAAGGCCTCTGTGTGTCCAGTGCCTTGACACTAGGCATGTCTGTGCTGTTTTGACTGGGCAAATCCCAGCCTCCTTACCCTCTTGCTATACAAGGGCTCATCTTGCCAACTCTTAATTGTGGGTTATTGTTTGGTTTGGTTTTTCACTGGCCACATTCTTCTTGCTACTGCTACCACCTCTGGACCATCCCCCACCTCCCGCCCCTCACCTCACAATCTTTTGCTCTGTGGTGGGGAGTGAGGTGGGGACCCTAGCCAGTCTCTCTGCCTTTCCAGGGGGCCATCCACTCATAACTGGTTTGGGGGGAACCCAGCCAGCAACCCTGCCCCACTCCAGGAGTCACTCATTCATATTATGTCATTATCTTGGTATTTTCTTTACTTGTGGAATTATCTACCTAATTTATCTGTTTACATTTTGTCTAACAACTTGTTAAAGAGTCAATACAGAGGAAAAAAAACACCAAATATTTAAAAACATTTACTTCCAAATCATTTACAGTGAACTTTTCCTTTAGTAGGTAAGTAAATACGCCAAAATAGTTTTATCTAAAAGTAGATCTCTCTCTCTCTCTCTCATTTTAATTTGAGCTTTCAGCAAGTCTGTATTTGTCTCTTTTTGCCTTGCTGAGAAAACAACAGCAGCTGTGAACTGAACATGTCTGTCCATTGTCAATAGAACAAAGAGCAAACACATTTTAAACCCAAAGAAAATTAGGCCATGAGGAGCTTGGTCCTTCAAAACCTTTGCTCAGCCTATCTATTTGTATAATGCCACTTTTGTGCACATGGCACTGATTCTTCTCTCATACTGTTTTTACACCAATATCATTCCAAAAACTCTACTGGAATTACTCCTTATTATAACCGGTGTGAGTGACATGAGCATCACACCATGGTTAATTGTTTTATGGTGTTTTTTTTTTTAATTTGAAGACAATTTAAGCCATATTCTGCACTTGCAATTCTGTGTATGGCTCTCACAGAAGTCCATAGCAGCTGCAAGCAGTCATCTGCAGGAAGAATTTAGTCAACTATGTTTGAAAAAGCAAAGTTGCCTTTCACAGAACTTCAGTTGAGAAAAGGAGATTGGACACGCATTGGGCCACTCGATTATCCTGATGCACAGTTGCTAGCAGAAATTTTGCAGAAATTTAATGAAGGTTTGGAGGTGCTATTTTTGTTGTCTCTTTAAGGACCTGATCCAAACCCCTCTGAAGTCAGTGGAATAAATTCCGTTGATTTTAACAGTGTTTGGCTCAGGCCCTGCATCACTTACACTCCATCCTTTCATACCTGCATCTTTCCATCTCTTTAATCACTGTCTCTTCAGTTTCTTTTTCTCTGCAAGCTGTCATGTTAATCCCTTTGCTTTTGTTGTTTTATCTGCCAATTTAATTCCTATCTACCCATGTTAGGGTGGCCAGGTGCCTGGTTTTTGACAGGAAACTCTGGGTGAAAAGGGGACCTGACAGGGTCTGGTCATATCAACTGACAGGACACCCAAAGTCTGTTTACTGTGGGCAGGGCAGGCAAGAAGTCGCTGCGTCATCACCCACTCCAGCCCCTACTCATCCACGGCCACCTCCTACCTGTGTCAGCTCCCAGCCCCAGCTCCGCAGGTAAGTCCCTCCTGACCCAGGCAGCAGGGGCTGCGAGTGGGAAAGCAGTGAGCGACGGAGGGGAGAGAGGAAGAGGAGTGGATGGGATGGGGCCTCAGAGGAGGAGGTGGGTTTGACATTCGAGGGAAGATGGTGGGGCAGGAGCAGGGCTTTGAGGGGTAGAGGTGGGACATGGGTGGGGTCTCAGGAGGGGAGAGGTGGGTCAAGGGACATTCTGGCCCTCCTGTGGAGTGCCCGGTTTTTAAATGTTACCAAGCTGGCAACCGTAACCCAAGTGTTACCAAGAAAACGTCTTTGTTAACTGAGCAAACAAGGTTTTAGATTCTGCTCATTCTTCTTGTTGTTTCCACACATTATTAGGCCAAGTAGTCTGTAGATAGCATCTCTTCCCCATCCCCTTCTGCACAGAAAGGGATTTGGCTTGTATATTTTATTAATTGTCTCAATGGTTCTGATCGAGGTTTGAGTGTTCCTTTCACTTTTATTTTGTCTTTTAGAATAACATTTATTGATGGGTCCAAGTAAACTTATGGTGCTGTCTATTCTACTCTTGCCTCAGAGGACAGTGCCACAAAAATCAGTGTCCTCTCTTAGATCAACTCTGTTCTTCAACTGCAGAAAAAAAATACTGGAAAAGACAATTTAGTGGGCATAAGAATTCAGAGACTAGCAGTAAAATGTTTCTGGCATATAAGAATCTCTTGGGGCATCCAGGAATGCTTTAAATTTAGTTGAAATATTGATTAGCATTCTCCTTATTTTTTTTTGTAAACAGTTTATTCACAGTATCTCATAAATAGCTTGCATAAATTCAAATTAGCAGCTACTGTGGTTTTCATGAATTTAATGCATCTCATATTGGATAGGATTTCCTAGCAAAGTCCTCCATGGTAACTTTTGAAAACTAACTAATATTTCTCAGAAAACTCTCTCTTTACCACTTACTTGCATTTTTCTAAATTGAGTATCTGTTTTGCAATCTACGGTACATGTGCCTTTTTGTAGCAATATAGTTCTATTTTTCTTAATTGTAAATCAGATGCGGTGTATAATTACCCATATCCCACTTCACTGAAAGAATATGTATAATCTGTATCGTCAATGCTCTTTGTACTACTTGGACACTAATTAACTTGGACATCACATTCTTCAGTCCTCCCATACGTGGAACTCTGCTAGAACAAATGGGAGTTCTATAATGAGTGTGCTTAAATAGTACAGTGTCAGGCTATAATCAGTAAACTAGAGAATTAAATGTTGGCAGCAAAACCCCTCCCAGCTGGCTGCCATTTGTCTAGAAGCCTCCTGGTGAAAAGTTTGCATGGTTGTCGGGACATGTGCGAAAATTATAAGCTGATGAAAATCACAGCATCAGGGTAATGTTCTTAATCATTTATGTTTTGAAGTATGTGTGTGGGGACAGAGAGTGAGTCTGCATTGATGCATGTGCCAAGGCTTGAGTGCCAAGAGACTGACAGCCCAAACTTTAAACTCCTCATGCTGGTAAAACACCTATTGACTTCAGTTGGTATTTTGCCTGCTTTTTCCAGGATAGACTGAAAGAGAGTGGGACATAGTTATCAGTGACGTATGTGTACGAGCAGCTTGCAATTTCCTCAGATTTATTCGCCATTCAAATTTACTCTTAATTTTATCACTAGGTTTGGGTTTTTTTCTCTTTTTTTTCTCTGTGAATTTATCTCAAACCGTTTGCTAGTAGTATTTGCTGCGTGATATTTCAGCAGTGTTGGTTCATTATGAATGTCCATGGGGTCTCATGATATTGATTTTGGTCACTTATAGGACAAGTGTAACTCTTTTAATCAGGATGTTGCCTTAACAAAACCACTGGGGCTTTGATTTCAAACCGGTAGAAATTATGCATGTTTAGAAAATGTTAAGCCTTGCTTTCTCTTTCCAAGCGACCGAGCCCTGCTCAAGTGGCAAAAGTAGGTGTGAAGGAGGTTCACTCACCCTAGAATCCACCTTCTGTCCAAATGTGGTATAGCAGCAGTCGTTCAGTCTGGTACTCCCTGCCTCTGCCACTGCTGTGGGGTCTCTTGCTGTAAGTGGCCCTCCAGCCAGGTCACAATATTTATGTCCTCCCGTTTCAGGGTAACAAAGTTCAACAAAGTCCAATGAATAATTCCCAGACCTTTTTGTCAGGTCTCCAGCCCTGACTCTGGGCCCAGTGGTCATTGCATCCCTACAGGCTCTGAATTATCCTTATCCCCTTATGTTAGGGGTCTTTATTCTACCTTCTCAGTGGCTGGTAGGGAAACCCAGGCCCTCCCTGTGAACTGGGTACCAATCCAGGGGACCTGCAGCCAGCAGCCAAGGTCTGTACCATACCACTCCCTGGGCTCTCCCCAGAGGTCGGGTTCCTGCCCTTTTTGTCAGGTCTGCCACAGGAGCTTGCTCCAATCCTGTGCTTTCCAGATATCTCCACCTTCTAGTGCCCAGATAGCAGCTGTAGACTCTCTCCCTGCAGTCCTATTCTGTTACAAACTTCCTCTCTTTATATCAACCATCCTGTTCTTGCCGAACGGGGCTCCATACTGTCCTTTCTGGTGCAGCCAGGTAACACAACTGGCCTTGTGTTAGTCAGGGCCTGTATGTGGTACACATCCCATCAAAACAGGTAAGACAATTTAAGTAAAATTATTCTCTTGTTACAGAGTTTTAAATCAAATTTTCTTGCCATAGTCACATAAACATAAGAGAATGCACTGTACTAATTGTGAAGGGTCTGGTCGGGTCCTTGTATGGATAGTTTAGTTGTATCTGTTCCTCATAACTGTATTGAGGACTTTTTTGTATACCTCATCAATTTCCCCCTTTTGATGGATGTCACTCATTTTAGTCGCCATATTACCTACAAATCTGGTGTCCCTCACTTTTTTATTATTACAAATTACTTATCTCAGAAATAGAGAATCATGAAACTGAAGTTATAGAGTCATTTATACCAAAGGAAGGAATTCTACATCATTTTAAGTTGTCTGCATGAATAAACTATTGTGTCCCACATTTGGACGTTGGCATGCTGAGAGAGATGGGTTTGGGAACTGTGTCTCTTTGCTATGGCCCATCCAGTGAAACATACCACTTTCAGTGCAAATACCCCCGCTGTTTTTGTGTGCACAAGCACATGTATGTATGTTTGTGTGGAGCTATGTGTACATAACTTTATACATATACCTCATAAGGTAATATGAAAAAAAAAAACCACCACCTCTGGAAGTCTTATCCTAACTTTCAGAAAGATTTAACACTATAGAAATGTAGTGAGGTCCCTTATTTCTATTACTTTATTTTTTAACAAAACATATTGCATACTTAATACCACACAGTATTACAAATAATTAAAATTGTTCTTATTTAGCATTTGTATTAGGATTGCACCTTGATGCCTCATCTAGATCATGGCCCTGTTCTACCAACTGTACAGACATATGGTAAGCAATGGCTTCTGTATCAAATAGCTTACAAAAGAAAAGCTTGATCTACAGTTGTCAAAATCAATTACTTTCTTGTGTTCACAATGTATTTTCCCAGTCTTTTTGTTATGTAAGTTAACTTTCTTGCTAATTCACAAAGCTTGGTCATTAGGAATGGATACTGCAGTTATTAGAACTTTGCTAAATTCATGCTATTGCTCATGTGGTCAGATATTAGTGATATGATTTATTTGAGGAATAGTTGCAAAATGTATGGAATATTATTTGACTAATACTTTTTCCAGATATGACCATCTTATTTTACTGTGTGTATGCATTTTCAAACCTACACTGTGTGTGTGTGTGTGTGTGTAGCCTCATATACATTAGCTTGCACCAAATGTAGTCATTTGCACCAATGCAATGTGGGTGTAAAAACTATTTTAAACAAATATCAAACTTTCACAGTAAATTATGGTTTAAATAATTCTTTGTGGATCCTGTGGGATTATGAAAGTGTTCTAATCAGATAGTAATCAAAATACTGGCAAATAATAAGATGACCCTCTGAATAATGCAAACCAAGATAAGTGATTTCATTTTCAAAAGTATTCATGACCAAAGCCCTGAGGTAAGTGGGAAAGCGGGATACCGGGAGGAAGCACAGGCAGGAATGTCTGTGAGGGGAGGGCTCCTGCCTCATACTGGGAATGAGGGGCGATCAACAGGTTATCTCAAGTGCTTATATACAAATGCACAAAGCCTTGGAAACAAGCAGGGAGAACTGGAGGTCCTGGTGATGTCAAGGAACTATGACGTGATTGGAATAACAGAGACTTGGTGGGATAACTCACATGACTGGAGTACTGTCATGGATGGTTATAAACTGTTCAGGAAGGACAGGCAGGGCAGAAAAGGTGGGGGAGTAGCACTGTATGTAAGGGAGCAGTATGACTGCTCAGAGCTCCGGTACGAAACTGCAGAAAAACCTGAGTGTCTCTGGATTAAGTTTAGAAGTGTGTGCAACAAGAGTGATGTAGTGGTGGGAGTCTGCTATAGACCACCGGACCAGGGGGATGAGGTAGATGAGGCTTTCTTCCGGCAGCTCACGGAAGCTACTGGATCGCATGCCCTGATTCTCATGGGTGACTTTAATTTTCCTGATATCTGCTGGGAGAGCAATACAGCGGTGCATAGACAATCCAGGAAGTTTTTGGAAAGCGTAGGGGACAATTTCCTGGCGCAAGTGCTCGAGGAGCCAACTAGGGGGGCGCTTTTCTTGACCTGCTGCTCACAAACCGGGTAGAATTAGTGGGGGAAGCAAAAGTGGATGGGAATCTGGGAGGCAGTGACCATGAGTTGGTTGAGTTCAGGATCCTGACACAGGGAAGAAAGGTAAGCAGCACGATACGGACCCTGGACTTCAGGAAAGCAGACTTCGACTCCCTCAGGGAACGGATGGCCAGGATCCCCTGGGGGACTAACTTGAAGGGGAAAGGAGTCCAGGAGAGCTGGCTGTATTTCAAGGAATCCCTGTTGAGGTTACAGGGACAAACCATCCCGATGAGTCGAAAGAATAGTAAATATGGCAGGCGACCAGCTTGGCTTAATGGTGAAATCTTAGCGGATCTTAAACATAAAAAAGAAGCTTACAAGAAGTGGAAGGTTGGACATATGACCAGGGAAGAGTATAAAAATATTGCTAGGGCATGTAGGAATGTTATCAGGAGGGCCAAATCGCACCTGGAGCTGCAGCTAGCCAGAGATGTCAAGAGTAACAAGAAGGGTTTCTTCAGGTATGTTGGCAACAAGAAGAAAGCCAAGGAATGTGTGGGCCCCTTACTGAATGAGGGAGGCAAACTAGTGACAGAGGATGTGGAAAAAGCTAATGTACTCAATGCTTTTTTTGCCTCTGTCTTCACTAATAAGGTCAGCTCCCAGACTGCTACGCTGGGCATCACAAAATGGGGAAGAGATGGCCAGCCCTCTGTGATAGATAGATAGAGGTGGTTAGGGACTTTTTAGAAAAGCTGGACGTGCACAAGTCCATGGGGCCGGACGAGTTGCATCCGAGAGTGCTGAAGGAACTGGCGGCTGTGATTGCAGAGCCATTGGCCATTATCTTTGAAAACTCGTGGCGAACCGGGGAAGTCCCGGATGACTGGAAAAAGGCTAATGTAGTGCCAATCTTTAAAAAAGGGAAGAAGGAGGATCCTGGGAACTACAGGCCAGTCAGCCTCACTTCAGTCCCTGGAAAAATCATGGAGCAGGTCCTCAAAGAATCAATCCTGAAGCACTTGCATGAGAGGAAAGTGATCAGGAACAGCCAGCATGGATTCACCAAGGGAAGGTCATGCCTGACTAATCTAATCGCCTTCTATGATGAGATTACTGGTTCTGTGGATGAAGGGAAAGCAGTGGATGTATTGTTTCTTGACTTTAGCAAAGCTTTTGACACGGTCTCCCACAGTATTCTTGTCAGCAAGTTAAGGAAGTATGGGCTGGATGAATGCACTACAAGGTGGGTAGAAAGCTGGCTAGATTGTCGGGCTCAACGGGTAGTGATCAATGGCTCCATGTCTAGTTGGCAGCCGGTATCAAGTGGAGTGCCCCAAGGGTCGGTCCTGGGGCCGGTTTTGTTCAATATCTTCATAAATGATCTGGAGGATGGTGTGGATTGCACTCTCAGCAAATTTGCGGATGATACTAAACTGGGAGGAGTGGTAGATACGCTGGAGGGGAGGGATAGGATACAGAAGGACCTAGACAAATTGGAGGATTGGGCCAAAAGAAATCTGATGAGGTTCAATAAGGATAAGTGCAGGGTCCTGCACTTAGGACGGAAGAACCCAATGCACAGCTACAGACTAGGGACCGAATGGCTAGGCAGCAGTTCTGCGGAAAAGGACCTAGGGGTGACAGTGGACGAGAAGCTGGATATGAGTCAGCAGTGTGCCCTTGTTGCCAAGAAGGCCAATGGCATTTTGGGATGTATAAGTAGGGGCATAGCGAGCAGATCGAGGGACGTGATCGTTCCCCTCTATTCGACATTGGTGAGGCCTCATCTGGAGTACTGTGTCCAGTTTTGGGCCCCACACTTCAAGAAGGATGTGGATAAATTGGAGAGAGTCCAGCGAAGGGCAACAAAAATGATTAGGGGTCTGGAACACATGAGTTATGAGGAGAGGCTGAGGGAGCTGGGATTGTTTAGCCTGCAGAAGAGAAGAATGAGGGGGGATTTGATAGCTGTTTTCAACTACCTGAAAGGGGGTTCCAAAGAGGATGGCTCTAGACTGTTCTCAATGGTATCAGATGACAGAACGAGGAGTAATGGTCTCAAGCTGCAGTGGGGGGAGGTTTAGATTGGATATTAGGAAAAACTTTTTCACTATGAGGGTGGTGAAACACTGGAATGCGTTACCTAGGGAGGTGGTAGAATCTCCTTCCTTGGAGGTTTTTAAGGTCAGGCTTGACAAAGCCCTGGCTGGGATGATTTAACTGGGAATTGGTCCTGCTTTGAGCAGGGGGTTGGACTAGATGACCTTCTGGGGTCCCTTCCAACCCTTATATTCTATGATTCTATGATTCTATGAATCAGTTTTCTTTTACTGTTCAACCAGCTATATATATGACTATGCCTGCTAGTGAGAGACAACAAAATGTTAGAAACAGAAAATATTAATCTATGTAATTTCAGTATAATTTTGGTTTGCTAGGATTACATGTCCAAAAATATAAACTGTTATTGCTTAACTTTTCATGCATTTCACACACCTGGATCATCTCCATCTCTAACTATCTTAATAAATATGGACTTCCAGTTGTTAATTACCAAATTCTATCTATCCCAAATGGTGAAATACAAGTTTTGCCTATCTAATTGCACATAAAAAGTCTACATGCATAAAACCCATCCAGGTTCTAACATGAATGCATTATGCATAATCCATTTTATCCCCTTACAGTTTGTTTCTGTATTATTCATTCTGATTTGTCCACAAAATATGCGACCAAAACACACAACACTCAAAACTCCCACCCCCTGCCCTCACTTTATTTATAAACAGTGTCCTGAGTTCTTAACCTTTTATAACATTGGCATGTAACCAAGAACTTTGTATATCATTTTGTCAGTCTGGCATTCTCACATGTCACAATCCAGAATAAACTGTTCTTCAAGGTTGGCTGAATTTACTTCATATCCTGTAACCCCTTTTCAGGGCTGTTGGACCTTGCTTGTGTTTTGGCAGTCTTTTAATAAAAGGTCATTTTGATGTCAATTAGATGGAGTGTGAAGATGCACCATGAACACTGGGATGCAGCAGAGAAAAGACAGACCCATAAAAATGCAGACATTGCTGTTGCAGAAATTTTCAGGTCCCAGCGTTTATCTCAGCTTTCATTTTAAAAAATCTGTAATCCCTATTTTGAAAAAAGATTAAACTTCACAATGTAAACCAGTCTCCTTAGAGTTGAAAGTGTCTTCACTAAAAATAATTAATTATTCACTGTCCTCAACACTTGTCCAGAGGCAGTCCATGAAGCCCATGACTGCTAACTCCTGTTTTTAGATACAATCTTACATGTGAGAAAATCCTAAGTGATGATTGCAAGAGATGCCTTTGCTTCACTGATGGTGCCAGGGTTTCTCAGTGTTATCTCAAGGCTGGCTAGATGCCTGTAGTTGATCCAGTTCCTCCTCCTCCTCGTTGTTGTTATTGTAATGCCTAGAGGCCAGGCACCCATTGTGCTAGGTAAGCACTGTGTTGTGAACACACGTCAAGGTTCCTTCCCCACTCTGAACTCTAGGGTACAGATGTGGGGACCTGCATGAAAAAAACCCTAAGCTTATTTTTACCAGCTTAGGTTAAAACTTCCCCAAGGTACAAACTATTTTACCTTTTGTCCCTGGACCTTATTGCTGCCACCACCACGGGGTATGTCTGCACTTGAAGCTAGAGGTGTAATTTCCAGCTTGAGAACACATACCCACTCTAGCTCTGATCGAGATAGTGTGCTAAAAATAGAGTGTAGTTATGGAGGTGGGATGAGTTAGTCACCTCGTGTATGTGTCTAGTGTCTCAGATGGGTATACATTCAGAGTGGCTGACCTCTCCTGCCACTTGCGCCCTGGTGTCTACACTCTATTTCTAGTGCACTAGCGGGTATGTCTCCTCAAGCTGGAATTTAAACCTCCAGCTCAAAGTGTGGACATTCTCATAAGGCTTACAATATAAGGAAGATGTTCTTCAAGCTTCAGTGTGGCTTCCAGCTACAAACAGTGAAGACAGATCAGTGAAGAAACTGGCTACTGACAACAGGCAGAGCAAAAGGGTACCAGCATCTACTTAGCCTTCAGTTGTATCAGCAGCTGCCAAGGTATTTAGGAAGGAGAGAGGAGGCAGTATTTAGCTGGCTGACCGCAGAAGACTTGTCTGGGAGGCTAGTGATGGAGGAAACCTCCTTGAAGAGCAATGGAGAAAGAAGGCATGTGTCTGTGTGCTCACAGGAGTGAGAAAAAAAAGAGGGAGAAGGTGTGTGATTCTGGGCTGTTGGAGGCAAGAGAAGCAGTGACCCCATGGAAAATGTGGAGAGATTGAGTGAACTGTAGAGGTGACGGAATGCAGAGCAATGAGGCAACAAAAGAAAAGGAGCAAGAGGGAGGGACTTTGCAGACTGGGTCAGAGGAATGGGTTGGATGAGGGAGAATGAGGCAAAGAGGAAAGAGAGAATGAGAAGGAAAGAAATTATGCTTTGCAAGGAAGGAAGAGAGAAAATTGTAAAAAGGCAGAGGAGAAAGCAGTAGATGTGAGAGAGACATTGGTACAGAAAAGGATCGGACGAGTTGGGAAATGAAAGTAGAAAAAAACTATTTGTATTTTGACTGAAATATGCAAGAAGTCAATAAGTCTCTTCATTCAAAAATAGCCATCAAGTTTATTTCTGTTATTTGATCAGGAATTCAATTTGTTAAGTTTAGGGGGAAGCTGGTGTCCAAGCTGATATATCCCCATTTGTCCCACTAGTAATATAGGAGATCAGGTTTGTCCATGAGTTGTTAGTCTGTAAGTGATCCTGAGAAATCCATTGTATTCCTTGTGTTTACAATTAGTCTGGCTCCCATCCAATTCACGTTTTAAATTTCCAAATTAAATTATTATTAGTTATTGGTAAACAGGTCATTAACCGAAAATAATCTAGTTCTGGAGTCTGGTAATTTTCCTGGTTATATTTTATGAAGGTCTCTAGATTTAGTTATTGTGAAAAGGACAGCGATTATTTTAGGATTATGAAATATTTCCACGTTTATTGAGAAATGTTCCTTAGCTTTAAAAATAAATAGCTTAAGTTGACAGTTGCCTGATTAAGTTCTCATTACATTAAACAGATAAGAAAACCAGAAATGAATACACAACATAATCAAGAAGATCTTAAACAATGAACATTAACCAACCCTAACAATAAGACTCAATTAAGAGCTGGGTGAACTATTCATAGTGAGCAAGATATTTAGTGAATTTCATCTTTTTTACTAGTGTCAAATAGTTTGTGAACATTGAATTTTTATGCATTTTCCACTACTTAAATTAATCAATGAATGTTTAATTTAAAATATTTGAAAATATAATTGCTCAAGTGCTTTCTTATTTATGTAGGGTTATTTATTTATTTATGTATTTTCTTATTTCTTATTTAAGAAGGCTAACAGCATTTTGGGCTGTATAAGTAAAGGCATTGCCAGCAGATCGAGGGACATGATCATTCCCCTCTAGTCAACATTGGTGAGGCCTCATCTGGAGTACTGTGTCCAGTTTTGGGCCCCACACTACAAAAAGGATGTGGAAAAATTGAAAAGTGTCCAGCGGAGGGCAACAAAAATTATTAGGGGGCTGGAGCACATGATTTATGAGGAGAGGCTGAGGGGACTGGGATTGTTTAGTCTGCAGAAGAGAAGAATGAGGGGGGATTCGATAGCTGCTTTCAACTACCTGAAGGGGGGTTCCAAAGAGGATGGATCTACACTATTCTCAGTGGTACCAGATGACAGAACAAGGAGTAATGGTCTCAAGTTGCAGTGGGGGAGGTTTAGGTTGGATATTAGGAAAAACTTTTTCACTAGGAGGGTGGCGAAGCACTGGAATGGGTTATCTAAGGAGGTTGTCGAATCTCCTTCCTTAGAGGTTTTAAAGGTCAGTCTTGACAAAGTCCTGCCTGGGATGATTTAGTTGGTGTTGGTCCTGCTTTGAGCAGGGGTTGGACTAGATGACCTCCTGAGGTCCCTTCTAACCCTGATATTCTATTATTATATGTGGTATATTTTCTGTTCTCTGGCTGGATGACTGTAACTGCAATAAAGAAGGAGTTGAGGTGGGTGTGATCAAATAACTTGTCCTTCACATCTTTCAGATACTAGATTTAAAATTAACTTTCTCCTATATCTGCACATAGTAATTCAGCATGGCATATACACTCATGGTCCAAGCTGCAAAGGGTAAGCCCAGATCTTTGTCTGCTTTATTTAATTGTCTTTGTGCCAGGGATCTGGCCAGGGATTTTGTGCGATCCTAGCCATGGAGTCATATAGCCTTAACCATCTTGTTTAACTTGATTAGTTCTAGGGGTTCTCACCTATGCTTTTGAGAATAGTCTCTGCTTGTTGAGTTAGTAAGCATTGTACAACAATATTACCCTAGACTAATCAAGAACAATTACCAAATTTATAGGTCTATAATTTTCTGTCATCTACTACTATTAGTCATCTATTCATACCGTGTATTGTCAGAAACAAATTAGTATTGCAGCATGGGTGTATATATGCAATCTTGGTTGGGAGAGGTGTGGTCACAGTTTGGAGAGAAATATTATTCTATGGTATTGCATTGTTTTTTTAGACAGAATTGCACATCTAATAATATTCCATATATAATACACCCTGATCATGTCTTTAAGTTTACTGGTCACCATCGACCATGCATCCTTGTTTACTCTGTTTGTTGTTACCTAGTAACTGTGCTCTGCGTTCAGTCCCAGTTTTAAAATCTGCATAATAACCTCTGGGTGAAGCTCTAACCAGGGAACAGAGGAGCGTTGCCTACATCTCTCCTCATGTTGCGTTATTTTCATTAATGTTTGGCTGAATGGAATAAAATCTGTTAATTAATTAACTATTGCAGTCTGGTTACTTGATTCAGAAAAGCATTTACGTAGGTGCTTGAATGTGATTCCTGAATAGGAAAACTTTCCTGAATCAGAGCCTATAATTGCAACTACAGTGCAATTAGTGTATTATAGAGTGTAATTGGTCCTTTCAGTCAAATTACTATTACTAGACAGAAACATATACTTTCTTTTCAAGACAGCAAGGCCAGACAAAAAAAACAAATCCTTGTTATGTCTAAGGGCGGTAAGAATTACAGAATATATGTTAAATGCTTCTGTTAATGAAGTCTCAGGGCTTGATTCTCCTCTTACACAATAGTAAATGAGGAGTAAATCCAGGTAAATGAATGGTTTTCATGGGTGTTGTGACACATGGCCAGAAAGGGTTAAGCATCCTACAAGATAAATGACTCAAATTCAACCCTTAAAGATATAGGGGGAGATAATGTTGGTGTTTTTGTGTGTTTACATATATATTGGTAGAGGTCAACAATGTAATCAAACAGTCCCTGTCTATGCTGTATTCTGTTAATTCAGAGATCAAAAGAACATCTTAACATTTAAATGAACTGTGAACATAGGATGTGGCTGTATTCATCTCTCTTTGAAGTGTATAGCAAATCATCTGCGAATGATGGAAAAACAGGCAATTGCCTTATATTAATCTGTGTGGATATTTACCGGAGATGCTTTGGAAATGGGTCCACTTCAAAATCCTCATGAGTGCCTATTGTTCACCGAGGGACTCCTTGCTGTCAAAGAAGGCCTGAAACTGTATAAAAATGGCTTGGGTACTGAGCCTGTCATCTCGGATCTGCTTGAGACTTCATGCAGGGAAAGCCTAAGCCATCAGGAATGAGATCCCAGTTCTGACTGGACCACCCTCAATACAAACATTGGACTATAACCTATGGACTTTTCTGATAGAACGCTTTGCATCCACAAAGCTCACCATCTCTGCTATGAATCTGAATCTCAAGATTGTATGTTTGTATCTATACTGATCTTTTAACCAATTCTCTCTCCCTTTTCTTTTTTAATAAATCTTAGTTTAGTTAATAAGAATTGGCTGTAAGTGTGTATTTGGGTAAGATCTGGAATATTCATTAACCTGGGAAGTAATGTGTCTGATCCTCTGGGATTGGTAGAACTTTCTTATACGATGAATAAGATTTTCAGTAATCCTCATCATATTTGACTTGGGTATCTGGGGGAGGCCTGAGGCTGGGTTACTTTAAGGGAACTATGTTGATGGCTTCTGGGTGGCCAGCAAGGTATTGTAGAAGCTGTTTTGTGCTGGCTTGGTAAATCTAAGTATTGGAATATCCACCAGTTTGGGGATTGTCTGCCCCACCATTTGCAGGTTACCCTAATTGAGTGACCTCAGTTGGCTCCCCTGGGACTTCGGTTACAGCTGTAAAACCAGTTGAAATAAAAATCAGAATCCACAGTATGTGCTGGAATCTGGGTCCACCGGATCCCTCTTTACTACAGTCGTTTTGTTGGTGCCGGAGCGTTTTGGTGATGATAACTTATATATGACCTACATTTTTGAGGTAACTGGGGACTGTGGAGAAATAGATGCTTATTTTCTTCCTACAGGTAAAAGTGGATGCTCATTATTTCCAGTGTGGTTCATCACTATTAAAAAATAAGCCTGTTAAAAGGTAATTGTGCTGCCACAAGCTGTTTATATATATGTTAGTAAGTGGAAGAGTTGGTCCTTGTTAGACAGATATGAAAAACAATGGCAGCTCGAAGCATTATTTCTGCTGATTTATGGGTTACAAGCTTTCAGTGCATTTTATTACTGTGCTGCTTCATTCAATTGAATATTTTAAGACCCCAGAACATAAATCTTCATTTTCTTTCAAAAATAATAGATTATGTTTAAAGCTATAAATGTCCCCTTATTTTCTGTGGATTATTTAATCTGAAGACCTTTCCACCACTAAACATAATTTAAAAAATCAGCACGTTTTAGGATACTGTCAAAGTCATCTTCCTCGCCTCTTGCTCTGACCACATCATCCCCATCTATCAATGCTAACAAGGGCTTCCTGAGCTTTTTCACCGCGCATTCTAGCTCGTTGTCCTTCCCTTCACACCTTGCCTAGTTTTGGCCCTGCCCACATCTGCTAGCAGATTATTCCTTCCTCCTTCACAGGCATTGCTTGGTGGGGAAAGGTTCTCTTTGCCCTCACGAGCGCACTCATGAAGCAGAAAATATAATTTGGCCTATAATATGAATACATTTTGAAGGACCATGTTAGATCAGCATTGAGAGCACACACATTATGTGTGGGAATAAATATTTATATATGTTATACAACATTTCTGTTTCCCTGGAGTCTCACTTCATAGAGATTCATTTTGAAATCTCAGTCTTACACAATGAGCACTGAAAAGTGTGTGTTTTATACTTAGGGCCCTACCAAATTCAGGGTCCATTATGGTCAATTTCATGGCCATTGGATTTGAAAATTGGTAAATTTCTTGTTTTCAGATGTTTAAATCTGAAATGTCATGGTGTTGTAACTGTGGGGGTCCCGACCCAAAAGGGGATTGTGAGGGGGTCGCAAACCTATTGCGGGGGAGAGGGGGCTTGGGATTGCCACCCTAACTCCTGTGCTGCTTTCAGAGTTGGACTCTAAAGGCAGCAACTGCAGCTTCTTGCAGCTGCAGGAGGTTCTTGGAGGTAGAGGTGTGTCTGATCTCTGCCCCCAACAAAGAGCGGCTATGCAGGGGATGGACAAGTCCTATCCCTCCCCAGCCCAGCCAGAGTTAGGAGCCCCCTTTGCTGGGGCACTCCCAGCAGCACAGAGAAGATCTGACCCAACTCCACAAGTCTCCTCCAGCTGCAGCAATCTCTGGGGCTGCTACCAAGTCCCAGCACATCCTGCAGCATGGGGAGGCTCCTGGAGGTGGGTCTGGCCTCTTCTCCTCAGAGTGGCTGTGCAAGGAATGGACAAATCCTGTCCCTCCCCAGCCCAGCCAGAGCTAGGAGCCCCATTTTCTGGGGCGCTCCTAGGAAGAAGGAGACATCATATTTCATGGGGAGGGCTTATTTCATGGCCCATAAGGCATTTTTCATGGTAATGAAATTGGTAGGGCACTAATTATACTAGCGTTTAGGGCCCTAGTTCATCTGAAAGGGTTAAGTTTAAAAAGAAGCTACAAGATCATTTCTAGGTGGAAACTTTTTACACGGTACAATTCTCTGCAGCTCTCAGAAAATTTTTATTTGAGCCAGATTTTCCCATTTCGAATCGCATGTTAGTCTATGAGTGTTCCCAATTGACTTCAATCTGACCAGCCTATAGATTTCTATGCTAACACAGCTTTGAAAAGAGGGGACTTATGCAAAAAGAAATATAGCTCTTTGGTTATCTGGGCTCTGTCTTGTTTTTTGTTTGTTTGTTGTTTTTGTTTTTAATATGAGACCCTTTCTTCCTCAGAGCTTTGATCATTTAATGTTTTCACAGT